GGGAAAAAAAAAAAAAAAAAAAAAAAGATCCCTGCGGGATTATTTATTTTTTGAAACCACGATAAATCATTTCACAGGCACTGAATTGATTCTGATGAAATCTGTCAAAAGTCATTATTTTAACGCGTAAAATAAAGACTTATGGCAAATTTTGGACTTTTTTAATTAGTCTTTTCCAAGGTTAATTCCAATGCTGTGTAACAAATCTCATCAGAATCAATTCACAACACATCATATTTATTATGAAATATTGGTAATTTTTGTGATTTCAAAGACATAATAAACAATTCCACAGGGATTTTACCCGTATAGTATCAATTCCCGTTAGGTTTCAGTGATTAAAACTTAATTTCAATTCCAATAAAATAGGTACAGTGGTTGAAAACTCCCAGGCGTCATTTTCCGAGTCTCAAACTATCGTCGTACTGAATTCCACTCAAATAAGACCAATAGTTTAAAAACAGAGACACCCAGAAGTTTAAAGCAGTTCCCGTTTCCGTGTGATTTTCGGGATGCGAACTGATATTTGACCGAATGATTCCGCACGAATAGGCTGGCTTAATTGGAGTGAGCTCACGCCTCACAGAAAACAAACGTTGAACAACACTTGCGTTGTCTCTCGTCGAGTGAGTGAGGTTACCAGAGGTTCAAATGTCCCCCTCCTCAATCGCCCTAATCCTCGAATGTCCAACAATCCTTAAATTCTTATTCCAAAAGGCCGGTAACGCACTTGTAACATCTCTGGTGTATCGGGTGTCCATGGACGGCGCCGATTGGTTACCATCAGGTAATATTTTTAATTGTTAATTTTAATTGTTAACTTTTTCGTTAAGTATTTAAAACCACTGCAATCTGATAACGGTCTGGAGCTGATCTAATGATGGAGTCGATAGGCAGTCGATGGAACTCCTCAACGGTTAACAGTAGCTACATTGTGTTTGGGTTTGATTAATTTGTAATGATGAGGACTTAATACCTAGGTGGTGTGTGATTGTCAATAAGGGTCTGATGATGAAGTACTACCATAGTTGAGGGAACAATTCGTTACAAGCAAAAAGATACTGATGCCACCAGTACCAGAGAAAAATAAGCGAAGACATTGTTTTATTTCCTGCAGTGATAAAATAATAATATGCTATCAAAATCATATTTTATTCTGATACGGGTTAATCACAGAAACATCTTGTTTTACAATCTTGGATGTAAGTGTATTTATTCGTATCTGAAGTTTATGTAATTTTAATAGTCGATGAAATTTTGATAGCTACGTCATGTTTCGCAAAGTTATCTAAAACCAATTTGTAAACAGATTTCGTAGGTACAGACAAAATGAAAAATGAAGTCTGTAATTTTTCCTATATCTGTTAAACACGGATTTTAACTACAACACCATCTGAGTTTTTCTAAAATAAAAGTAAATTTAAATCGTTTTAAATGTAAAATCGGGTTTGTAAGTTCAATAAACAAATTAATACAAAATTAGAACTTATTGTTAATCTAATTAGATGGGTAAATTATATGGCATTAAAACAATAGGGATGATGACAGGGTATGAAAATTAAAAATCTAATTAGTCCGTCAATTAGGTAATGAATATATATTAGACACGAATTTTATTGTATAATAAAATGATACTTAGATATAACGAATCAAAGTTTAGGAGTGGGGCTAAAACGTCATTTCTACGTATAAATTGTACATAGAAGTGACGTCACGCGACATTTCAAATCAACATATCGTCGAAAATATTCGTTTCTATAAAAAAAATACAAAATACGTGTAGGTATAATGTTTTAAAATAATCTACCAGACGGACAATAAAATAAAAATACTAGTAATTTTTATTTCCTAGAATTAATAATAACTATTACACAATTAAATATATATAATACAAGATAACAATTAATATATACAACTTAAAATATATATATAAAAAAAATTTAAAACTAAAATATTTACACCTTAATAAAATAATAATAATACAAATAAATCATAAGGCATCAAAGAAAACATTTTCCTCATCGCTACCGTGAGGTAGGGTGCCCAAAAGACTGGCAGCATTGCCACGTTGAATGGCAATGCTTAACCTTTGCCCAAGGTAGTAGCCAGCCCTTCGATCACCTGAAGTGTCAACCATCCTTCTTACAATATCTTTGTAAAGAAGATGTGCACTTGGGCCCCACGGCCCTAAAGTTTCAACCCCAAACGGTTCGAAAGCATAATTGCCAATCAGGCTATTATACTTTCGCCGTTTGAGGTTCTCGGCAGCAGCAGCGGCAGCACCGGCTCGACACGCTGAGCTTGGAAGATGGGATGGCGCCAGAGTATCAACGCAAGTGGCGTCCCATACTAAAGCCCTACCCATCTTCCAAGGGAATAATGACATACCGTCGGGTCTCTTGCCATCGTCGCGTACCAAGCCATTAGGTTCTAAAGTAGCTGGCACGCCAACGGAGGCAAGAGCTCGACGAATTATGTCATTAATACTTGCGTGTCGAGCAAAACGGCCCGCACTACGGCTACATGACAAGCCGTGGTGTCCAAGGCTGTTGACATCTTCACCACAACGACAACGATGAGGTGAACAAAATGAAGCTCCAAGCCTTAAACAAATTGCAGCGCGGAACGTGGTGTCGTCCAACAAAGTACCTAGGTTAGACGAAGGTAAAGCAAGAAGCCATAACCCCGACTCCCACTCACCCACAGCCAAAAGGCGAGCTCTCTCTGCAGTTGAACAAGAGGAGTTCAAGAGATTTTCGCTCACTTTTCTGCAGAGCGGCTCGTCCCATTGTCTCTGGGAATGTGATTTGACGGGGGGGTCAATATTTGGGCAAGCGATTTTCCAAGCATTCACAGCTTCCACTAAACATGGTACATCAAAATTAACCAGTGATTGAGAAAGAATTTTCCTGGTTAATTCTTCAGTACCAAGGGCGGAAGATATGAAAGCCGGTAGGCTTACACTGGAAATTTTACGGACGCCAAGCCCACCCATGCGGACAGGCAGAGTGGCTTGAGTCCAAGCTCGGTCATCAAGAGCCACATTCAAAATTAAGGACAGGGTTCGCCTAATGGACAATAAAATAAAAATTAGTCATCTACCCTATTATCCATTACTCCTACTTTATCATTTTGTGACAGAATTAATTAATCAGATGTTTACGGATAATTTGTGTACCTAATTATTAATACACTTGCAAAACCATTGCAAAATAAGGATGTACGTAACGTACTCGGTATTATTCTCAGTTTGAAAATGCAAGTATAATTACGTTTAGTACGTACTATGTCAATATTTTATTTATTTAGTTAATATTAAAGAGAACTAAGAGTTGTAACAAATAAATGTAAAATTAGAAGGGTGTCCTCAAGGCCCGAGTGAAAGCTTGCTTATGGGTAGACGCCTAAGTGCTCCATCGTAGACCGCATCACCGCTTAGGCGCTTACCAAGAGAGAGGCAACTTACACGCGAGGTAGTGGCCAAACGTCAACCCATCAAACATAACAAAGTAATCAGAAAGACAGTAAATTTATTGTAATTTAATATGAAGTAAGTCATTGTTACTTCATATGAAATTACAATATTTTTTTACTTAATTAAATCTTATGTATGTACTTACCAACACACAAAAATATGTAGGTACACAAGTTTTTAAATAATTAGTTTCACTTGCTTCTTATATATTATTTACTGCGAAGGTGTTATATACTATGTAAGTAATAAACAGCACGTGGCAGTCCACTGGTGGTTTACCGTTGGTAAATTCGCCGCTTAGCAGCCATGTTGTAGATTATCCAAATGGTTGAAAAGTACCCTGAACCCACGAGCATCGATGAAAAGACTGATGGCTGTTTATGAAGGGAAATGAATGTTGGAATCGTAGCATAGTCTCTGCCTGATCCATGGAAGACAGGCTTGAGGTTAAGTATGTAGGTATGTAGGTTCAGGTTTTTCAGAGTGCTTTGGCTGGTCTCTTTTATTTGCGAATTTCAATAACCGATTTCAATCCAAAGTCATTTTGCACCGACTTCAAAAAAGATCGAAGTTCTCAGTTTGAACTAAAATGAATGTATGCGTTCACGTTTACCCTTGTTTAGTCTAACAACGTTTTGTCGAAAATCACTTCATCGAAATTTAGTTGCAATAAAGTAATTTCGTAGAATTATTCGTTTAACCGAATAATTCATTGGTAAATTTTTATTTAGCATAATTATTTATTTGAACTAATTTCATTACACCGTTTTATTAAATGCACTATTTTTTTTTAAAGCTAAATGGTATGAAAAGATTTGAAAAGCTGATATACCTAGCGCTTGGCGGCCGCTGCCGTTTATAAAAGACTTATTAACAGCTTTTGGCTATAAAATTATGGATACTTCACCAGAAGTAGCCACGCAAGCTGTAGCACTTCTTCAATCTGGGCTAAGTCAGCGAGGTGTGAGTTCATAACTTCTCATAAGTCGTTCCGCTGTCCAAAGAGTGTACCATCGATACCTGTAAACTGGCGGCTTCGTTCGGCGAACAAGAGGACCTCGTTACCGGGTGACAACGGCGAGACAAGATCAATACATTGTCACTACCAGCTTACGCAATCGACGCCTTACCTCTGTTCAAATACAAGAACAGCTCAGGGACTTTCACGGAGTGGCTGTAAGTGCTCGGACCGTTAGAAGGCGACTCAATGAACGTGGTTTAAAGCCCCATAAGCCAGCCAATGGACCCAAATTGACACGAGCACACCCAAAGACCGTTTAGAGTTTGCGCGCGAACATCTAAATTGGACTCGACATCAATGGAGCCAGGTTCTCTTCACAGATCACATTTTTGGGTTAATTATTTATCTAGTAACACCCCCTAATTTTTTATATTTTCAATTTACAGAATTTACACAGTTTTATTATATGTAATTATGAGTACTTATATAGATTTTTATATTAATGTTTTGCGTTGGGAATCTGTATTAGTTCTAGTGCAAATGCTAGGATAGGCCATTGTAAAACATATTTTACAATCATCTACTTCTGCGCTGTGTTACCCGCTCTGCTCGGTTCCTAATAATCGTAACGTGATGTTTCAAACACAAAAATCATTATTCAATTCGGACCACAAGTTTTGGAGATTAGCGCGTTCAAACAAACATATTGTTCAGCTTTATATATTGCCATACTCCGGGAATAATCCCATATTCCTTACTTTTAATGCAATTATAAAAACCAGAACGAAATCCAATAATTCCTTCTTTACCCTGTGGCCTAACCCTACCACCCAGGCAATCAACGGTGCTTTGTAGTCGAAATAGTGTTTAACGCCATCTATCGGAGTACGGTCGAACTTTTCTTCGTATATGGAGCCCAAAGATGTGGAGCCACAACACCGACAACACCGTTGTTGCTTTGCTTCTTTTATACGAAATAAAATGTTGAGGCGTTTATATACATAATAATATAGGTAAATAATATATCACAACCGGATTGTAAATCACACATACCTACAATTTCTCCAAGCGAGAATCGGACCAGTAAAACCTTACAGAGAAACCCTGCCGCTGAGATTAGCTGGACGACAAATAACGATAAAGTTGCATTATTGCATACCGTTATTAACATAATAAGGTAGGTATGTGTTTATCAAGCTAGACAGATTCTATATGAAGGTATTTTTTTTCGAACATCATTTTGTTTTTTCCTATGTTCAATAACCAAGCCCATAATAGGGTCGATGTCTTATTCAAAAAGCTAACAAAAATAACGCATACGTGTGGTACCTGATACATTCGCGATAAGATAAAAATGCTGATAACTATTGGTTTTAACTGTAATTTTTATTTATCCGGTCATCAGGATGTGTCATAAGTATGTTAATACAGATACTGATAAGGAACGATGCTTGCATGAAATATTATTTCCTGGTAAGAAGATCGGCGAATCCATCTTACCAATAATAATTATAAAGGGTTGTTGCAAATAACATTTGTCACTCAGTAAATTCTAATTTATGTTTCTCATAATTTACTAAGACATATGTATATTATTTTTGATTATTTTAATTATCATGGTTGATTTTTTCTGCCTGCCTTATGTCGTAAGGATAGCAGAAATATTTAACCATGATAAGAATAAATAACTTAATTACATTATAAATATTTGTTAAGTATTAAATCTGCAGGCAACGTAACCCACCACTTAAATTCTAGGTGCCGCGGAGGCCTTAACGGGTTGCCGGGGCTCCGGCTCGAAGGGCAGGAGTAGGAATGGTGTGGTTTTTAGTCAGTAAGAGTTTGACACCCCTCCCACCTCACCCAGGCGGGAGTAGACATTCGATGATTGTCTCCCCTTAAAAAAATCCTTTAGGTTACCGGGCTGAAGCAGGGAGGTATTCCACGAATTGCACCCAGACGATTGACACATAAACGAATCTCACCTGATACACAGTAGTTGCAATGAGCCGGTCTTCTCGTACTTTTGAGGGTCATAGTCTTCCTATTCCAGGTCCATTTTCTGTTATAAATAACTAGCTACTTACACGCGGTTTCATGCGCTCTGCTCGGCTCCTATTGGCCATAGCGCAGTGGCGTGCACAGGTTTTCGAGACAGGGTAGGCAACTAAATATCGTATGATTAAACCCCTCTCCCCCCGCCGGTCATACAATCATGCTCACACAAGATAGGTACATGTACATAATACATTTCGAAAAGTGCGTTCAAGAATATTGTGGTGTATTCTTTCGCCAAATTACATACACTGACAACTCGCGTATTTTTTGTGAAGTACTTCATCAGCTATTGAATAAGCCAACAAAACTTACAAATAATGAAGGATCTATTATTTATTTTAATAATAAGGCATAAATTTGATGAACCAAATTTCATTATGGAATTGTTTAGTTTAATCAATCTGTTCAAAATCATAATATATTACGAATTTAAGAGCGTAGGTACCTACATTATGTCAACAAACAAAACAATAACAAGCGCGGCCGGCTGTGGCCGAGCCGGCCGAGTCTATGCGGTACATATGTTATTACTACATTACATAATTATTAATAATAAATTAATATGTGAATCAGTACAACCCGAAGTCTAAGTTGATATTTTTAAGAATTATCAAACAATAAACAAGAAAGTCAAATAAAAGATCCATTATAGTACATATTTACATTACCTACCTTTTACTTGGGTCAATTCTCGTAACTCGAGTACACCTCTGCCTATGGTCTTTACCTGAATCTAGTCCGATAAAGGACATTTTCTTGCGAAATCTTACTGTTTTTACTTTCAACAAACACATAAAATTACCTATTATTCACACACACTTCACAATCGAATAATATAGGTACTTGTACTAGAAACTGATAAACAAATACACTATTTGAAAAACCTACACATATATTTAACTACTACTACACATTTATGCAACTTTATGTTTAAAACTAATTCCTAATAATTTAAACGAAAACATAAACAAAGCGATCGCACATCACATGAAAACAATATGGCCGAAAACATTGGAAACGAATTGAAGTCATTACCAATAGTCAATTGAGTGTTTATTATAAAAAAATGTAGCTTAAAAATTAAGGTAATGCAGCGTTTAATTTAAAAAAAACAAAGGTTAATTTAGTAAGTCAAATGAAATTGCATCATCGTCTTAAACCAATATTTCATACTAAAAAACATTCATTCATATAATTTGAAACGTTGTAAATGGCGCCATCTTGAAGTTTCAATAACTTCCTTTTAACTTTTATAATAATAAAGTCAACTCCTCGTTTAAAATTTCTATAAACCGACAACGCGTAAAAATGTTAAGCTTTAATTAAAACACTTGAAACATATTTGTTAAATACGCATTTATAAAAATACATTCGCATTATATCGAACGAGTTCAGAAGTTTCAACAAAAAATTCAATAGATGGCGCTGATGTACTCCATTCATCAGTACTTTACGATATACAGATTTTATCAATTTAAAACCTTTTATAATTTAATTGTTTTTAAAAATACAATAACTTGTTGCTGTTTTATTGTTTTAGAATTCTTAATAAAATACGATCGTTTTCCAAGTGATGAACGAACGGTCCTCTAATTTTTTAGTTGCAAACATTTTGTCAATCAACAGGAATCGTGTAATATAATTATGAATGGTTATTCTGTACCGTGACTATGGTCGTGAACTTCACGCATGCGCGGTGCATACTTTTGGTACATTTCTTTTGTGACGTCACTACTACCAACCAAGATTTAAGGAATAGTGGCGCATGCGTGGTGCGTGCGGGGCGCATTCATTACTTTACAAAGGCGCGTATTTATGTTAGCCGTTTTTTTACAAACTTTTATTATATTATTGAATTTTAATAAACGCGTTTGTACATTTTATGTATGTTATATATTCACGATATTTATAGGTAGGCAAAGCCTTTTCGCCTATATGGACTGCACGCTATGGATAGCGTGATGTTTTATAGCCTTCCTCTATAACGATTCAAATCGAACCAGTAGTTCTTGAGATTGGCAAGTTCAAACCAACAAAGAAACATAGAAACGCTTCTGCTTTATGTAATAACTAGCTGTTGCCCGCGACTTCGTCCACGTAGAATAATGACTTCGAGCAGAATTTAGGCTTTTGAATTAGTCTTTATCAAGGGATATTCTACGGTAACGAATGCCTTACACCTACTAGTATAGGGCTCCTCTCCCGTAGATGATAGCGTGATAAAACGTTTATTTAAATTATTTTAATTAAAATTATATGTTGAACCGCAGTAGTTTTTGAAATCATCCCGGATATACATACAGACAAATAGATAAACAGACAAAAATTCTAAAAATCATATTTTTGCTTTGGTATGGATTGTAGGTCACGTTCCAAGTATTCTTTTTAAAATATTCAATGTACAGTTTTGACTTTTCTACGATTTTATTATATGTATAGATAGATAGATAGATATAAGATTCATAAAATACTTATCTATAACAGAAAATATTTCTCAAATAATGATAAAATGAAAAAGTGGCTTCGTTTTTTTTGCTCCCAGGTGTATTTCGACATGACAATTACCTACGTACTTGTTTATGGTATAAGCCGGTAAACGAGCAGACGGATCACCTGATAATAAGCAATCAGCGTCTTCCATGCAAGGCGTTACAAATGCCTTACATTTTAAGATTAAGAATTTGACGATTGTTAGGGATGGGGATTCAGGGACTGGGGAAGGGGGAGGGGATAATTCCGGCCGGGCCTCCGGTAACCTCACACACACGACAAAAAAGCGTTGTTTTACGTCGGTCTTATGCTGTTTCGGCCATAGTATCACTCCGATCGAGCCTATTCGTGCCAAAGCATGGCTCACCCACAGTTACTAAAAAATCCCATATACCTAATGCGGTCTTCGCTTTGTCCAAATAGGTAACAAAAATATGACGCATGCTGTATGATGCATTATACTTCCGTGAAACAACAATAATACTGATAATTAATTAATTATTTTAACGGTAATATTGAATTGAATTATCAACTTCAATCAATATGTACCTACTTACTGATAACACAGGATTACTAATTATGTGCCGTAGCACTATCACGCCTTTTACTCCCACTTTTTGCTTCGGTCGTTAATATTCAACCCCATTTTTTGTTGAGAGCCTCGTATAATAAGGTAATATAACCAATATTTTTACTAATCTGAGAATCGAACCCAAGACTGTCAATTTATTGCTTAAGCGTTGGGATATTAGGATTTTCTCATGTGGTACAGTTTGTGGATAAGGCTACGAAGTATGTGGGAATCGAACCCGTGAGATGTTGTTGAGCAGTAGCTGGGCTTGTAGCACTGCGGTAACCGCGCAGTCTGTAAACGGATGTACATAGTATTTGTTATTATTTTTGTTGTTAGACCCATGTGACCCTTGTGTTATTAGATTCTTGTGAGTGAGTTTGAGATTAAGCACAGGGATAGAGTATAATCTGGAATAACGTTAAATATTTATTATCCCATGGGAACGAAACCCGGAAAAGGGGTGTCGTTTCCGACTAGACAAAAGCTAGTATTGTGATGTGCTAAAAGCCTAGTGTTAATATATGAGTAACTAAAAATATATTCAAAGTGTGATTGATACATTTTTATTTAATTAATAAAAAAAATCCAACCCGCCTTGAGCAAGAGCAGTGATTACTCATCTTCTCTGTGTGAGGCCTTTAAACAGTACTTATAGGCTGTTGATTTGATGTGAAGAATGTTTAGAAATAATTTTTTTTTTAGGAAAAAAATAAATTTTATAAACAATTATTTTGTGTGGTAGATATAGTTACATATACTTGTACTTCGTTGGCGAAAAATAAAAAAATACCTAAGTAAATTAATTTAGTAATATTAAATAGGTTAGCCTAACTTTGTATTTAAGGATTGTATTAGTTTTTAACTTGACATTTCTTGGGGCTCCACCACATTCCAATGTCTTCGTAAATTGTTGTTTTTGACATTTCTTTTTCATTATTGATTGCCTCGCACAATTTGCAGTAAGGATCCGTGGTTGCAGAAGCCACTACGTCCCGGTAACTGTAATGATTATGCCATTTGAAGTATTCGTAATATAACTCCTTGTTCTGTATCATATCCACCATCTTCTTGGCCAGTTCTTTTATAGTCAATGTGTTTGCAGACAAATATATTCCATCGGGCATGAATCTGAAATTAAATAAAACGTAATTAATACTTTACATTGCATAATAGATTCTTCCTTAAACAATATTACAATTCCTTGCCATAATTATTAGCCGCACTATATTTTTTGATATCAGATTCAGAGCAGTATTTATATTTATTAGGTTGATCTGTCTGTTCCTTTACCGGATTATATGTTCCTTTTACATACATACGCCTACTATTGTGAGGTTACCATATTATTATCTACTAGCTTCTGCCAACGGTTTCGTTCACGTTTTCAGGGGCACAAACTAGGCTATGTTACTACAGACAACAAGCTACCTTTGTTTTAAACTTCATCCCGGTCCTTTCAGCCGTTTTGATGTGACTGAATAACAAACATATACTCGAACACACAAACTCGCATATTTTTATACTCAAACTCAAACTCAAAAGCATTTATTTCAATTAAACTGTCAAACACCAAGCGATCACCGGTGACCGCAACCTATTGTTCTATAATTGTGTCTACAAAACCGGTACTCGACGAGTTAAACCATAATTTGGTACTTTTGAAACGTCAACAAATATGAAATATATAATAGTCTGTCAGTCTGTCCGTCAGTGAAGCTAGGCGCTCGTTCCAAAATGTCGATTCGAGTGGAGAAGAACAAGCAAGAAACTCCATTCGTTACTCTTTTAAAAAAAAGTCTGTTTATAGAGGTACATTATAATATCGCCTCAAGCTATATAATTTCAACTACCTACCGATCGTACTGTTACAAAGTATAGGGCCTCCGGCTCGAAGCGCAGGAGAAGGAACGGGGTGGTTTTTAGTCAGTAAGAGTCTGACACTCCCTCCAGCCTCACCCAGGCGGGAGCAGACAGTCGATGATTTTCCCCCCGTAAAAAAAACTGTTACAACGTGACGTCTATTGCGGGCAACCTAACATTCGACAAACAAAAATATTTGCGTCTGTTTTTTATTTTATTTTATATAGGAAACAAACCGTCACATAAAAATAACTTACATAAGAAAACAATAGGTTCAAAAAGACTTCGAGTTCCATACAACTTTAAAGTGTAGTATAAGTACCTACCCCCAATTTACTTTAAACAGAACACATAGGTAAGTAAATACAGTCAAACATAAGTCACATTATTTTACGTGGTCTTTAAGAGTTGGTTGCGCAATTTCATTTTATAAGATCCTAAACTCTGGTTAAGCATCGGTGTGGTTGTGCGGTGTGTGGTGGATTGGTACAGTAACTGTGTCTAGGAATTGAGCCGCAAAAATAAGTTTGCTATTTCGTATATAATTATACTTTTTAGTAGTTTTTAGAGATAAAATGTACCCATTGTGCCAAGGATATAGAAGTATAATCAATCATAATATCAAGTTTCATCGTTATTGGACCGAGAGTATTTGCGTGATGCGTGAACATACAGACAGACAGCTAAAAATTTTTTTTTAATCACATTTTTGGGTTTGGTGTCTATCTAGTAACACTATCTACTTATTTTCTAAATATTTTTAAACTGTCAAACACCGCGAGGATACCGGTGACCGCAACCTATTGTCTATAATGACGGTACTCAACGAGTTAAATCACAAAATTTACACTTCTACGGTGTTATTATATGTATAGTTAATCTATATATAAATAAATGAAACCCGTTTCCCGTTGTCACGCCATAATTTGTGAACGCCTAGACCGATTTGGCTGATTTTTTTTTTGTTGTGTTTGTTATCGCCAAGAGAAAGTTCTTATGACTGAAAAAAATCCTGGAAATCCTACGGGATTGGCAGAAACGGGATTGCGCGTACAAAGTCGCGGGCAGAAGCTAATAATATAATATAAATAAAATGAAATAAAATGCCCTTTATTCCACTGATAACCATTTTGGTAAAAAAAAAATATTTAGATAAATCATTTCAAAGTAAACAAATGTTAATAATGTTATGTTCTGGTTTGTCTTCGCTATTCATAGCGGTCGCCTCAACGGTGTAGGCCTCCCAAAATCGCCGCACGCTTAGGAAAGCGTGGACTACTGTCAGTCTGGTCCACAAGGTTGGGTAAAAAATATCTGGCCAACTCTTTCTTTGTCTCCTTTGCTTTCTTTTACCGTCCAATAGAACTATTCTGTACTACCCGCTTAGTCTTAGTCCATCTCGTACACTCCAATCTACACAGATGTCGCTCCCAGTTTCACTGCAGCAATGTTATTCTTTGGTTTACATTCGTTAACGTCGTTTCGCTTTGTATTATTTCATTTTTTATTTTATTTGACCTTCTTATGCCCAACACGCTTCTTTCTACTTTTTTCTGACATATAGTGATATTTTCCTCATCTCCCTTTATCAATTCTCAATGACCACGTTTGGTAGCTGTATATTAGGCAGGGTAAAAAAAGAAAATTACGTCAAACGCGTGTCTTTTTTGGTTTTTCAGTTTTGGAAATATCGCGGGCGTTATTTTGAAATTAACATTGTAAGTTTATTATTTTAATAATTGTTCATTTCCGCCTATCGCTTTGTTCGACAACAATGTTGGAAATTATCTATTCTGTAACCCCATACGAGATTAGGTATGGTCAAATAACAAATCAACCTAGTGTTACGAAACATATAACGCATTGAAACAAATAAGGAATCCCTCAGGAATTAATTGAACATCAAGCGCTAACCAGTCGCCAATCAAGAATTAAAAAATAAGTAGGTAGATATAAATAATTACATAATTATAATAAGTAACGCACCTCGTGTAATTCGCGCCACCAAACACCACAGGTACAGCGTAATTGTCGAGTGCATTCAACAATTTCTCCGTCACGTAGTCTTCCGAGAAAGAATTCTCAAAAGACAAGTAAAAATAGTAATCAGTCCGCAATTTGCGCAAGCACTCTTCCGTATTGGATCTTGGACACTGCATGGTTCCACAATAACCATATATGTCCAATCGCATACCATACGTCTGTAGTTCATTTTGAAGCTTTTTGGCAACCGAGTCTCGCCCACTTGGTGCTTTACAGTTCGATACGAACCACGCAGCTGCCGTTGTCTTACCATTCAATATTTCCTTTAACGTGTCATTTATTGGCAACATGTCCTCCACTTTCATCCAATGCATTTCTTGTTTAGGTCCTATCACATTACCATCCTTATCCCACACAGACATGTAAGCATAGTTTCGATCAGAGTTCAATTTGTAGGTCCATGTCCAATTGAAAAAGTTCAGGAATCTCTCATTACAGATTGGATAATATGCTGCGGACTCCATACTTGCGAATATATATTTCTGGTGTGGTTTACGTGGCTGAGGTAACTCCCTCACACCCTTTTGTACAAATTCTGGAGCATGAAACACTATCGCATCGAACTCTGTTATGTCTTGCAACAACTTCCTGTTTCCCGTCACAAAACAGTTCGTAACCGGGCATGATCTCTCAATGAATGCGTTTCTAGCTACTCGTAAATTAAAAATTGGATCAGTCTTAAGCGATGTCCAAACTAGAATATATTTTAATGAAATATTTAATTGTTTTAAATTCTGAAAATCTGTCACTTCCTCATAATAGTTCATCAGATCATAAAAAAACGTGAACAAAATAATCGTAAAAATAATCACACAACCGAAAAAATATTTTCGAATCACCATCATTAGTATTATATACTAACTTAACACACTTTAAATACACTCACTCTAGTAGACAAGTTTTTGTTCACTATAGCAAAATTAATAAGTTAATAAAGGTAAATAAAACTATTTGTGTAACTTACAAATAAAAAAGAATGAACAGTTACGATATGATAGACAACTCGCCAGCGTTTGGTTTCTGGGGCGAGCTAGCGTGCTTCAACCGGTGACGCACTGGTTATCTATACTGTCTCATATCATATCGAACGTATACGAACCGATCAGGTTGATAATAATTATTTGAAGATAATAACTACATGTGGACAAAATGTGTGAAGTCGAAACTATATGACTGTGTTTGATGACACTACGGGTACTGCATTGATTCAGTTGAAAAATTCATTTTTCTATTTATAATAAAAAGTTTGGAAGTCAGGAATTGAGGATACTTGGATAACAAAATTGTGGGAGGAAATCACGTGCATAGGGCACGTGATTTCCTCCTATTGAAATTGTGAACTATTTGTCGCCATTTTGGACCACCAATTTTTTTTTAATATCGTCGTCCCATCTAGCAAACTGTCTTCCTCTCTAACGTTTGCCCGGTGGGCCTTTCCATGACGTAACTATTTTGGTCCATCTATGGTCTTTAAGACGTGCTACATGGCCGGCCCATTTCCACTTTAAAGTTTGGCTGTAATTAAGAGCATCTATTGCTTTTGTTTTCGATTATATTTTATTGTGTCTTGTTATAAGTATTTTTTTTATATTCAACATACTGCGTTCCATTGCTCGCTGGCATGTGTTTATTTCATTCATTAGTTTATTAGTAAGCTTCCTTGTTTGACAAGCATATGTCAGACATGGAATGAGACACGAATCCATGACTTTTTTCTTCAATTCGATAGGCATTTCGCTTTTAAATAATTCCTTATAACTCCAGTACTATTTCCAAGTTTGCTTCACTCTTCTTTCCACTTCAGTTCGTAGTTTTCTGTGCGGAATCTAATTTGTTTTCCTAGATATACCTCTATACTGATCCACGTATTCTAATGGTTCATTTTCTATTGTTATTTTTTTGAAGTTGGTCATGAGTTTGATCTTTGTAATATTAATTTCTAATGCCGCTTGATTCCTTGCTGTACGTAGAGTATCCAATATATTATATTGCAACTGTGGGCACGCTCGCCGTTAGCATTCGAGCGCCCGCGTGCAAATACCGATTATGCCGCCCCCCTTTTTGTTAGGTGGGTAAAAAGTTCTCAAATTACTCTTAACGAAGTGACTCCTATAACTCTTACTAACTAAAAACCACCCCATTCCCTCCAACATTCGCTCAAAGCCAGGGCCCCAGTACCCATAATGACAGCCTACCTGCGTCCAGCCTGCCTCCAGCAAGGCAACAACCCTGGTGGGTCCGTCTTTGGTGTCTGATGAAGTAATTACTCTTTGAGGCCTGCATTATACACGACCGACGCGCCGTACGCTCGGGTCTGCTACGTGTCAGATGATCCTTGCTTGCCGTCCGTAGACTCACTCTTACGGTGGCGGAGAAGGCGACGCGAGCACGCTCGAAAGTTTTCGAGGACGCTCGATAGCTTTCGAGGAGGCTCGATAGTTTTCGAGGCCGCTCGAAACTGATCTAGGACACTCAAAAGTGATCGAGGACGCTCGATAGATTTCGAGGACGCTGGAAAGTGATCGAGGGCGCTCGATAGTTTTCGAGCACGGTCGAAAGTTTTCGAGGACGCTCGATAGTATTCAAGAACGCTCAAAACTGATCGAGGACGCTCGAAAGTGATCGAGGGCGCTCGAACGTTTTCGAGCACGGTCGAAAGTTTTCGAGGACGCTCGATAGTATTCAAGGACGCTCAAAACTGATCGAGGACGTTCGAAAGTGATCAAGGACGCTCGAAAGTGATCGAGGACGCTCGATCGTTTTCGAGTATGCTCGAAAGTTTTCGAGGACGCTCGATAGCTTTCGAGGAGGCTCGATAGTTTTCGAGGACGCTCGATAGCTTTTGAGGACGCTCGAAAGTGATCGAGGACGCTCGAATGTGGTCGAGGACGCTCGAAAGTGGTCGAGGATGCTCGAAAGTGATCGAGGATGCTCGAAAGTGATCGAGGAGGAGCAAAGATATAAAAAAAACATAAGACATTCGGTCTTATGTTTTTTTTATAACTTTGTTTTAGTAATTTTATTAAAACAATAATTCACTTTGCTAAAACAAAGAACTATAAATGCACTTTTACTTTTTAAATTCAAAAAATTACGGAGACGATGTAATCAGTAAGCACTGTAGGGCCTTCCTGCTCTATTATTAATACGCACAAATTATTCTTTAAAAAAACACTGTCAATCAGCGGGTGTTCACTAACTTTAACGTAATATCATGCTTCATTACTTTAAATTCCTAATTATGACGGTACCGTTCTTTGACAATTACTATCTACCTTATCAGACCGACCTTAGCTCGGTGTTTTTAGTATATACATGATATTTTTCATTAGAAATTAAATAGGACCAGATAAAAAAATGGAACAAAACATAACATCGCGCTTTTTATCCCCGAAGGGGTAGGCAGAGGTTCACATACCACATAATGCCCCTGTACAATGTAACACCCACTTTTCACTATTTAAGTTCCATATAAAAGGGCTCACCCCATTGCCATAAAAAATAGAACAAAAGAGAAATTAGAAAAAGAAAAAATTTAAGTAACATACGCGCCGGGAACTGAACGTGAATGTCCTGTTTGGAAGGCACCCGATTTCCCGACTAAGCGTTATTGGCAACGGCGAAATTTAGTTCCGTATTTTAATAGTACTATAGGAGGTTTTTGTGCAACGAATACACCGACATAACAACAATGACTGAAAATCAAATCTAAAGAGATAGGTGATCGATTTATGGCCCCCCAAATGAGTACAAAATTTCAAAAAAGTCGATGAAGCTGTTTTAAGGATCGTCGATATACAATACAGGGTGCAATCGACAATCTTGAGCTCCTTGGCGTAACTCTGACACCCACTCTCAACTTTGGCTTCTATATAGAGTCAAAAGCGCAACTGGCTGGTAAGAAGTTGGGTATCCTATGGAGAGTGAGACGGTACTTGTACTTCAAAGCCTCGAACACAGGTTGCAAGCCTTTCGGTTTTCTACCGGATACATTTACTATAAAAAAACGGAAGAATTACTGACATACATCGCATAGAATAACCCTCACATACAAACACACGTCACCATTATCTACATAACACCACACTTCCATACAACACAAACACAAAATCCCACTCATCCCTACACACTTACACCCACACTACAGACACTCACTTATACTCATTATCACTCAACAATCCACGGTCCACATTAGTGATATGTACATGTATATGCATTATTATCTTTTTAATTATTTTTTTCTCTTGAATCTCCAGCGACAACGTTCACCCGCATGCATAAATATTAAACAGTAATCATTGAGCCTCATTAAATGACTGAACACTGCCACCCAAAATACAAGCTTTCGCTTAGTTTGGGAGACAGCATCAGTACCTATAGCACATTACATTTTAAACCTGTGTCTAGATATAAGTCACCCAAAGAACTGTATAACTTTTGCGACAATAAAGATTTATTTATTTATTTATTTATTTATTTCGGTGAGTGTGCGGGGAAATTGCACAACTTGATTCCCCCTAGTCCTTTCCATCATCGTACCACAAGACAATCGACGAAGCGTCACCGATTCATGGTAGATGTTCCGCCCACACTTGTGCGTACTGCTAAAGAGTGGAATTCTTTGCCAGAGTCTGTATTTCCTGAAGGGTATGAACCTATGAGTTTTCAAGGCCCGAGTGAATAGGTTGCTTATGGGACGACGTGCTCCATCGTAAACCGCATCATCGCTTACCACCAGGCGAAATATTGGTCAAACGCCGCCCCATCAAATATTAAAAAAAAATAGTTCGGGATTTATTGGCCAAAACCAAAAATGTTGAATATCTCAAAAAATAGCGGCTCACTTATCACCTCCCGAGAGGAATAAGTCGAGTTACAAGTCAGCTTGTATGCATGTGTATACATGAATTGCTCATTTAAAAGTATTACATTAAAGAGATAGACAGATTTGTATTAAAATAAAATAAAATCAAAAAGTATCACAATAAATAGGTCAGTAGGTACTCGATGTTGAGCCGCGGAGGTCTTAACGGGTTGCCAGGGCACCGGCTCGAAGTGCAGGAGAAGGAGCGGGGTGGTTTTTAGTCAGCAAGTCTGACACTCTCTCTTGCCTCGCCCGGGCGAGAGAAGTTATTGGATGGTCGTTAAAAAAGAAAACAGGCAAAAATCGTACAAAAAAAAACCCACGTCCAACACTAACCATATCTAACTCTTATTACCTATTACCACATATAGCGGTAGTTAAAAATAAAATATGTAAATGTTTTTATATTTAAAAACGAGGGTCTGCCCGCTACTTCGTCGGCGTCGAATATTGATTGTAAACAGGATTTTCTGATTCAGTGTCATACGTTATATGTAGACACTATATATCGCCCAGAAGTTAATATACCGGAATGATTCTAAAAATAATCGTCTATCTGTATATTTCAAGCCTAAAAACCGATCATTGAAACCCTTGCTGTTGGTTCTGCGTGAATTTGACTCAGTCTCCTTTGAGTTCTAAGTGCAACCTTGTACGACGTCGCTCCATTTGTTTTGTAAACTAATAAGCCGTACAATAGCCACGAAGATAATCACGAGGTGGCGAAAATTAGCATTTCCTTTCTGGTAGAAGCTGTCGTTTCGGAGATCTATATCAGCTAAGGCACTGCGCAAACGAAGGCACTTTTTGTTTTTAGTTACAGGCAATGAACACTTTTCGTTTTTTGGAAATCAAATATCCTTCTTTTGCTTTTGGGGGTTAGGAATTTGAGGATTGCGGGAATTGGCCGGACATTGGGGAGGGGGTCATTAGATCATCAGTAACTTCACTCCCTCGACGAAACACGTCGTTATTTCATGCCGATTTTTTATGACGCCGTATAACTCAGGTTGAGCCGGCCTATTCGTGGCATGGCTCGCTCATACTTACAAATTGAATAATTGAATAAACAACTATTTTGATGAAAGAAAATGAATAATTAAACTACCACGCCTTTGAATGGCCGACCAGGCACACTTGGCCGTGTTTCATTTAATATTATAATAATTATGCAACTGTGTCACGATATACTCCATTATGTCGAGTACAATGCAACTAACGAGTTTTGCATAACATCTCACCCATTTTGACTCAAAATGCTAGGCAAACAATCTTTTTGACAATAATATTTTCAGTCATAAATATACGACACGAATGCATATTATACCTTAGGTCCATCAACGTCTTATAGTTTGAGATGTCGAGCCTTAGGTCAGATAGCCAACATGCCACAGTCGCGGGTAGGTCGCTAGGCGCGGTATGGCGCAAGAGTTGCAGTTAGAACAGTTCGCTTTCTTGTAAGCAGGTACCTATTGCCTAATCCAGGACGGGAGGACCTTTGATGGTTGTCCACCCACACAAGAAAGGTCAGATCGTCCAACACCTTTTAATTACCGACTTCAAAAGGAGGGGGTTCTATGTTCAAATGATTGTTTTTATTTTGTTTGTATGTTCAACTATTACTCCGCCATGACATTTTTGATTTGTTATAGTTTTTTTACAATACACAATGTCGAGCTAAAAAGAAAACAATATTTCAATCAACAACAATGAGCGAACTATTCTTATTATTACGGTTTTACGAAAGTCCCAAAGGTAACTAATTAGAGTTACATTCCTTCTACATTTGCATTTGCCAAAAACTATAGAAACATGTAATAATAGTGAAATAAATCGCAGTGAAGGGATCAATCTATTTCACGTTGACGGCACGACATACCAAAAATATTGCCCATTTTATCATGGATTATGGAAAGTGGGCAGCGGTATGCAATCAGGCACGTCTGCCGACCATATTGTTACGTTGTTCGCCTGAATTTATAGCATTTTGATTACCTAATGTGTATTCGATGTTTGCCCAAAAATAATAGATTGCTTGCTCATGTTTTACAATAAAATTGAAATGTATTAACAATCAGTTCAACCTATCCCAAAGAGTAATAAGTATAGGGAAACCTTGAGGGGGAGACTTATTCCATGTGTCAATGTTTTCATGGAAAGTCAAAACAAATCTATACCCGGAATTTTAATTCGATTCCAGATTTGACAATTTCAGTGTTGCAACGTAATGACAAGTACTAAATAGTGACGTTGCGAAATTATTCGATATGGAAATGCAATATTTCTGGATCGATTCTTCTCGTTTATAATTTTACTCTCGTAAACTAAGTATATCAGGAAATTAAATATTTCTGAGCCGATAATTTAGTTTTGACAAATAATTAACGATCTGAGACTTTTCTTTTATAATTGTGTGTGAAATAAATAAAAAAATGTAATCATGAAGGAACATGACAAATAAAGCAGATAAATGTATTATGGTAACAAGTTATTTTATAAATTGTCGCCGTCATCGCTATCGCTATCCTGTCACTTTCTGGAACATTTATTATAAAACACACACACTGATTGTTTATCGATTTTTGTGTTCATAACTACACTATTATATGTGGTATCATTATTTCACAAAATGACAGTAGCTATTGTCAAATCTGGAATCGAATTAAAATTTTGACTTATAATATCGGAGTTTCATGGGTGCTTCACAGAAAAACGTAGGTTGACTTGCTGACGTCTAAATACTCTAAGGACGTCTGTATAGTGTAAGTACCATAAACAAACCGTTCCATAACTTCACAATCTTGACTTAAAATCATAGATATTACAATGAAGAAGTGAAAAAAATAAGAACGTCACCTAACAATTTCCATCATTTAATATGTGCTTTTGAATTCAAATAAAAATTTAACAAAACCTTAACATACTATGCGCCCTGTTTTCGTTTACAAAAAATACTCACAATATTTTAAAAATGTGAAAAGAATCGCTTGGTAATTTTATGTTTTGCATACTTTGCAACTTAGAATGAGTACAAGATAATTTTACATTGTTTATGTCGTTCCAGGTATATTTATTACACATTCTAACAAAAAAACAACAGCACACCAAATCTCAAATGAGTACAGTAGCATCGAATGTTACATGGATGACATAGTGGACTATTTCGAAGAGTTCATCAAAAAGTCCCTGGTCGTCATTTCTCTGGGACTAGGGACGCTTATCTTGATGATCATGTACGTGTTCAAAATGTTAGCCGATAGACCAAACGGTCCACGCACCCTCTGCAATGCAGATCCCGAACTCAACCGGAGCAAAGGTAACCGTGCATTACTTTCGTTTGTAATAAGATTCTATCCAGAAATACCCCATTGTTATTCCCCGATGTATTATTCCAACATTGGCTTAAGTTATGGCTGCTTGTGGCTAAGACGAAAGTTGCCTGATCGAGACGTGGAACAGGATCCAAAATATAAATAAGATTATAAATTTAGCAATAGCAAACAATTTAGCTTTATTCTTACAACAGTAGGGTGGTTTTCAACAAAATTCTAAGGTTTTTTTTTCATAAAGTGGAATAATAATAATCTTCTATTTCTTTAATAAACAGGAAAATATATAAAAAAATTAGTTTATTATATTTTTCGAGTTTTCGTACCGACTAATGAGGAAGTATTAGCTTAATATAATTATGATTAATACTGTTTATGTAGCAACACATTTAGATCAGTGTTACATTGTAGAAAATTACACTATATCTGTTACTTAACACTTAAGTTTATCAATGCCACTTGCTCAACCACACATTTATAAATGTGTTGTATAAGTATCTAGAGTGCATTTATCGAAGTAATTAGTCGACGAACTTATATCTAGTAAACTTGATGATCTAATAATAATAATACAATAATAATAGTAATTTGAGCGAGTTGGCGAGTCTCCGCCAGCCATTTTTACGTGTAGTAATTACATTGTTTCGGCAGGTGCGATAGTCATCCATAGTTCCCCATTTACTAGTCCACAGCAACCCATCCGTAGCCCTACCTTTTTTTTCCATTATCCACAATAGTTCTCCACTAACCGGGGACTGTCCTTGGGTGCATTCCCATAGTGCATACAGGGATAGTCGCCGGTTTGTGTGTCCATTACATTTAAACTAACTCTAGCTATAGTTATAACCACAGAACATAATTATAAAGCTTTATATTATCCTACACTACACTTCCAATAGAATGACTCAGTTTCCTACACTAACGATTTATTGATCCAAAATATTTCCTATTTCAGCTTCTGTCTTATCTGAAGGCAAGCGTTCTCACACGCGTTGCAGATCCTGCAATTCAATTAATTCAGAACCGAAGAACGTAAATTCGTGTATTTCGAATCCAGATAAATCGAGTTCACTGTGTTCGAATCCAAATAAATCGAGTTCAGTTTGTTCGAATCCGGATAAATCGAGTTCAGTTTCTTCAAATCCGAATAAATCTTGTTCGGTTTGTTCGAATACGAATAAGTCGAGTTCGGTGTGTTCGAATACGAATAAAACGAGTTCAGCTTGCTCGAATACGAATAAAACGAGTTCAACTTGCTCGAATACGAATAAAACGAATTCAGCTTGCTCCAATCCGAACAAAACGAATTCAGCTTGCTCCAATCCGAAGAATTGCCAAACTATGAATACATCGACAAGCAACACCATTCTTACCGCCAAAACAGCGTCTATATCAGCCCAAATTACATCGCATCCAAGGTTTGATAGAAAAACCCTAAGAGAAGTTGGATTATCTGGCTGTTCCAAGGTTGTATTAATACATAACTGTACATTTGTACCTGTACTACTCGTGACTTTAGGGACTGAACTTAATAGATGACGATGCTTTCAGATCTGTAGATCGCGAAGTCGGATAACGGGAGATTCAGATACAGAATGCAGGTTAGATAATGCAATCTTTATTTAAACTGTCAAACACCAAGCGGTCACCGGTGACCGCAACTTATTGTTCTATAATTGTGTCTACAAAACCGGTACTCGACGAGTTAATGTTTATTTATTACAAAATTTATTTTAAAAAGGTCAATTTCTTACCAATAATATTTGTCGCCACACACTATAGGAGTATTTAACAGTGATCGAGCTGCAGTGCTTTGTGACAAACCAGAATCTTCTTTACTGAGTTGTGAAGAAGGTTTGCCAACTTGACGTAGGTTTTTACCTCTATAATGGTACCTCTGAAGTAAAGGCTCTGTAGTCAACCTTCGATTGTCATCGGCTATTGATGATGAATATTAGCAAAAAAAAAAACTTCCTGTTTATCCTATCGTGCCAGAACGACATAATCGCATGTAATTGAAAGCTAAACAATAATATACACTATTAAAAACCTTTTAAAATACAAAATTCAATGTGTGTTCGTAATGCGTGTGAGTAAAATAACCTCTTTCTGTTTTCAGATCAGGACCGAATACTATAGAAATTACTAAGACTCCATCTGAGCAAATGTGCACAACGAAACGTTAGCCTTTTATTTATTACGAAGTTACCCACATATTATATTTAAGTATTAAGAATGTAGCTTTAGTAACTTAATCTTTATGTTAGGGTTCCGTACCTAAAGGTAAGAGAGTATACTGACTGATTACTAGTACTCCGGTATCCGTCTGTCTGCCATCTCGTAAATACATTTGAAATTTTCAAATACCAAAGTCACTATCGGTCAGGAGCTGAAATTAAAAAACATACATACACATACACTTCTGTCCTATAATGCCTCGTGTGCACTACGCTAGTAATTTAGTCGAGAACCGAGTAATTCAGAGGCTAAAATAACCTCTGTCCAATCGTCCACATTTCACTAAACTCGACAAAATTTTTGGTTTCCAAATTCATTTAGCTCCTGAAATACTCTCTATTCGATTAAAATACGAACTGTGAACGGAACAGTAGAGGCAGACAGAGACCATAGAACGCCATCTACGTAGTACAATCCTTAAAATACTTCACACTGAAAGTGAAACTAAATTTGTTTTTTGTTTCAGATCATTTAGCCAATTCTCGACCCTGTACCAGGTACATAGCAATAAGAACCTCTTGTTGTTCTATGTGCTGCGTAGATGATGACAGGCGGTGATGAATAAAGACGTTTAAACTACACTCTAAGCACATTATCTTAAAGTCCAAAATGATTTGCTGATAACAGTTTAGTGAAAAATTTTATAATTCTGCAAATTATTTTGCATAGATGTTACTGGAGCTTGACGTGCGCATAGAATGTTATAAGTTAGGTGATAATATTATACTTAATTTTGTAGTGTATTTGTTCCTTGTTATTTAATTTATTAGTACTTTTAATATACTTAAATTATAATTTTGATAATGTTCGTATTAGTACCTAAACGTCAAAATAAAAAGTAATTATATAAGGTTATGATTATTTATGAACTTGCTTCGGTTCAGTTGCATTTTCAATGATCGCTTTGCAAAAATGCATCCCAATCGGTTTAGTCATTTAGACGCTCGAATCAACTGGCAAATATAACGAAAACAGACTCCTATACATTTATAAATAGTGACCAATTGCAATAATAAAGTGGTTTATACATAACAACATGATATCACGCTTTTTATTCCCTAAAAGAGAAGACAGAAGTATAATGACAACACGGTTAGTGCGGTGACTGGGCAACCGGCTGCCACGCAACGTGTCGCGGATTCAATTCCCGCACGGAGCACCTCTGTGTAATCCACAAATTGTTGTTCCGGGTCTTGGTGTCATGTGTATGTGAATTTGTATTTTTGTAAACGCACCAACGACATAAGAGAAAATCCTTGTGGGACTAAGATTTTTATTAAAAAAAAAATAAGTGATGAACCAATGAAGACCTTTTGGTTACAATCTGGTGATTACCAGGTGGCGCGAATGTCGCGTGTAGAACAGTTTTAGTCGAATCACTGGAGCTGTCAACGATTAGATATAGTTATAGTTCAATACACGTAATAAATAACACTGATATTTAAGCTATTGCTAGTTTGTCACTAGCGCCTCTTGTGGAAAATAGTAGTATTCATCTTGATAATCTTAACATTTCGTCCAGTACCTACCTATATTACATAGCAAATATACTGAGCACAATCCATTGCTTGGAAATTTTGAAAAACTCTGTAGTACCTACGCCCCTGGTAAACCCGTTGCGTAGTTCCCCTCGAAATTATATCTCAAATAAACCTTGGATATATTTATAGTAAGTACTTACTCTGTTAAAAAACTATATGAAAATTGTCTTTGGTACGAAAACATCAAATTATATTATGTACCGAAATCAATAAACTTCAGAATGAAATAAAATTGACAGACATTTTAGAGTACAAAATTTGTCTAATGTATGGTTAAATTAAATTCTTTGAAACATATATGGTGAATTAAATTGTACGAAAATGCAAAAATAAATTAACATAGGTTATAAAATGGCGAAGCGACATTCCTTCACAGGTGTTTTTTTCATAAAGTTCAATGTATTTGCATCAACTTCATCTAACACATCCTCCAATGTGCGAATATTACGTATATAAAAAGAGTGAAAGCAAGTCGCATCACTCAGAGGTTTCCAGACAGCCTTTCTTCATCATCATCGTCATCTTCATTATACCACAAGAGGTCCTCTGCTGAACATAGTCCTCCTCTAATGACTTCTAGATCGTAATCTTCCAGACTTCCTCGTCTCTCAAAGAAAATCGATATAAATAACACACATATGTAACACAATAGGTAAGTATTTATTTTCAGCTTCTGGTAAACGTGGAAAACCATCTCTACGTGCGGTCTCCTCGCCCTCGGCAATGAACTCCCTAGCCAGTATATCGCCATCATCTTCCAAATGTCCGAGCAGCATGCATTGCAATGACTGGGAGCAGTTCATGAAAAGAACATGCAACTACGTATGGACAATGTCCTGCGCGTTGAACGGGAACTATGTTGCTGTCATCGCCATTATAATCGTCGTCATCCTCAGTTTACTTCTCCCTGATATCACGCAAAAATTCCACGCTACACACGAACTCAAGAATATGAAAAAAGTTTTGGCTAAAATGTCGGTAAGAATAAAATTTGTAACTGATATTTGTAACTTTCAAGGTGTAAGTAAAGCTTACCTTACAATCATTTACAATTCTTCGTGGAAATATCATCCATATAATTTTGCACAATATTCCATCACTCCATCTTATTGATAGTTCTTGTAGCAGATATCCTTATTCTTCTTCCTGCCTTTATACCAAGTAGTTTGTTCTTTTTTTTTACGGGAAGATTTCCTAATACAAAATCGTTTTTAGAATGAAGTGAGACGTGCAGAGGTAGCATGCCTGACAGTGGCTGATGAAATCTGTTGCCTCCACTGCAACATGCACGACGACACTACGGGAACTGTTAGTATCAGGTAGAAGGTATTGTATGCAATCATCATCTACATCATCTTTATCATCATTAAGGGCCTAAAATTCCACAGTTGGACTATGGGCCTCCTCTATAAAAGATTTGCCATTGTCCCCATGCTTAGCACCTGCTAAGGTGGTTGAAGAAATCAGTTAAACTTTAAGACTCAAGCTGATCTGTTGAATATGTAGGTAGTCCGTCAGTCAGTTGGTTCTTACTTCACCTGCGGGAAAAATAGGGGTCGACACAAACATGTTCTGAGCGAATAATTATATCAGTATTTATGTACCTATTGTATCTATTAATAGCCAAACCCGATTTTAGGACGAACTAGTTTTACCTTATTTTTGTCCTCAGAGTTTGAAGTAACCTAATGAATAGCATAGCGGTAACTACAGTTCGCTTCCTTCGCTAATATCATTGTAACTTAACCGCCTATTGTTTGCCTATGGTCTACTAGTTCATAAGCAACTTTAATTTTCCTGATATTGGGTTTGGCCAGCATAAATCACTATATAAAAATTTTATTAATCCCTTTCGTATAATTCAATTTAGTTTCGATTTCATTTCAGTCAACCGAAAAACTACAAAACGTCTCAATCTGCACCAACTATTGCATGCGAACTACTCAATCGGAACCGGTCCAAGTTGAAAAAAAAATTGGTTTCCTTCGGCGCCTTTTCTACCCCAATCGCAACACTTCCCACAAGGTTTGTTGGTCATCAGCTCTTATAGTTAGGATCAATAAACTACTTCTAGCCAGGGCTATCTATCAGGGTGTTCCCCAAAAATATTTTTAAACGACTTCAAAACAAAAAGGGGATCTCAGTTTCACTTGTATGTACTTTAAAACGTAGTAGTCGGTTTTTTGAACAGTTAACACACAAAATTTTACAAAATAATATACCCACGATATATCAGTTATGTTAAAATACTTTTAATAACAGCTCATTGCCAAATCAGTATAAAAATGAAATTAAGTTAATTTTTTTTTATACCACGACGGTGGCAAAAAAGCACACAGCCCACCTGATGTGGTAAGCGGTTACCGTGGCCTATGTACGCCTGCAACACTCGGGGCATTACATGCGTCTTGCCGACCCTTAAAAACCTATTCACCGCCCTCTTGAAGAACCTCATGTTGTTAATTGAAACATGTCAGTATATTTTTACAAATGCCTCTGAACTCCTGAAAAAATATCTAAAAATCTCTCATTGCAATTTTTCCGGCCAATCACACACGTGGAACCCGCATTCATAGAATTCTTTCACTGACGGGGAAATATTTCTCCCGAATGATAACTTATAGACAATTGATCCTTTAATTTTTATAACATTATTATATTTTATTGTTCAAGGAAATCGCCATCATGTCATATGTGTACACCGATTCCTTCGACGCCAACAAACAAAGTGAAGATCAGCAAGTGATGTGATGAATATCTCAAGACATTTACCATTAACTACCACTCAAACACTAGCTTTAGCATGTATTAATATAACTTAAGTTGACATCGGCCTTTTACTTTTCAACTGACTTAAAAAAGAGATGGAGATTCTTAATTCGATTGATTTTTTTAAGTTCGCACGGGATGCCCGAGGCTCGAGGGTCAGGAGGAGGAACGGGATGGTTTTTAGTCAGTTAGAGTCTGACACTTCCTTCCGCCTCACTCAGTCAGGAAAAGTCATTCGACGATTTTTCCCCCCTTAAAAAAATGCATAGGTAGTACGGTAGTAACTCGGGATAATAGAAAAAAGCTTTGGTCGAAATCATGCAGCTTGTCTATGGGTTTAGAAGGGTTGCTTAGATGTCATCATCATCATTAACAGCCTATCAGTGGCCACTGCTGTCAGTGAGGTCTGAATAATCTTAACTACTCACATTGGTACTTGCTGTTAGTAAGTTTCGAACTCGCAGTCTGCACCCTCTTGTATGCCTCATGTATGAGAAGCGGGCGTCTTAGACCTCCGAGCCATCACGACACTAGAAGGATGCGTGGTTGTGATATTCATAGCGTTAGTAGTGCCACGAGTTATTTGCCGATACTAGTAGTGCATAAATGTAAGTACATATAGGTAAAACACGGAATATTACTAGTTGTGCAGGGCACACTCCTGTACATCTTTTTGTGTTCTATGTTCACCAACAAACACAACCAAAGAGTTTTATATAAATCCAGCGACTAGTTGATTAAATACTCTAAGAGCGACAACCCGGTTGACGCTAGACGTTCTATTCTTCTCTATTGTCATAAAAAAAAATTGTAACGATAACATGGTACAGGCAAGAAATTGAATTAAAAATTGAATAGTGTTCATTTTATCAATATAAATCTAACAAGCACTCATGATTAAGGATCAAAATTTATTTAAAATGCCTCCACAAATAGACTTCATAAAGAAGTCATTAAAAAATGTTTGTGTTGATACTGTTCTATTATTTGTCATGTTAGCTCTAGTGGGACACCTGACTATAAATTTTTGGGAAAGATTTACTCTACAAAGCGAATTGAGTAATATGAAACACAGTTTACATTCACTTAAGGTAATATATTTTCCTATCCATAGACTTGAATTATTTATTAATAGTTGTTAAATTATTATTTATTTTCTAGGATACAATAAATAACATAGGAAAGGCCTACGATGGTCTTCACACCGAACTGAAAGATTTAGTCAACGTAGTTGACAAGAAGCAGCACTTGGTACCTGAGTGCAAACATAAAAAAGAAGCAAAAGACAGATGTAAGACTGAACCTTGTTTAGAACACCGAAAATTAAATGATATTCAAGTACAAACAGCTGTTACAGACACATTGAAAGTTGGCCCACGAGTTTTGTTGACTAAAGATAAACAAACTGGACATGACGGTCATGCACATAAGAGTACGGGTCCCATAATTAGAAACGCAGCAACGAATACTAAAAATCCTCTCAAATCTGTTGGAATCATGTCAGATTTATCGAAAGTAGAATTAGAGCGACGTCCCTTAAGTGATCTTATACACCTTCATTCGTTAAACCATTTAGGTTGCTATAAAAGCTATGATGAATGCAGAAAAATCTGCTACCCTGGAACGGCACAAACATAAATAACTTGTAATTATGCGAACTTGAGATTTATTTAAATAAATAATCCGTGCATAGGCTGATAAGCTCCCCTTACCATAACTAAGATAAAACGGTTTTCCAATAATATCCATTATTATTCAACTGCGTAAAATATTTTTCAGATATTGTGTGAGGTAAAAGTGAGAATTGAAGACACGTTAGAAGATACTATGACTTTATTTTTGTAAATAAATTATTTTAATAATAATCACTTCGTTTAACATGTTTTTATTCGACCTATTGACTGTTTGCTTATTAACTGAACAACATCAATTGAATGTCATTTTAAAATTTTCGGTAAACGCTTTGGGCAGCCGCATTTGCTAGCATTTTTTCCTAACTTCAAAGCTTTGTTCAGACACACATCAACGTTGGGGAGTGGGAGGCTAGTTCTCGGATCCCAGGCCGCGCCTTTACTATCCAATGCAGAAGCTAGAGCTTCTATAATTTCAAATTGTCCTTCCAGTTTCGGTAGTTCCTGGGAAACCCGAGACACCTTCAGTTCCAAATCGAAGTAACTGTTTTTCATGCTTGCTAAATTTTTCTATAACAAGAATACGTAATGCATTATACAAAAGTACACATCTTTAAAATATGTCTACGAATTTGACTTAGAAAATTAGCTTGGTTTGGACAATGACAAAAATAACGATAGTAACCTTACGTTACTTCTATTTCAAAATATTTGAATAAACCTGAATGAGGTAGTCGCATTTATATTACGCAAAATCTTCTTACTAATGCTGTAAATACGGAAGTTTGTGTGTATGTGTAGGTATGTGATAACTCGGCATTCACCAAATTTAATAAAAAGATTTACCGAGATGTCTTCAATGCTCCTATTGATATGGTTTATATCACATTTCGAAGAGCACGTAGAGCAGTGATAATCTAGCATTAGGTAAATGACCCCTATAAGACTCGACAATATTAGGAAGCTGTAGCAGCTGCTCATAAAACTCCAGGGCTTATTGCACTGCTCCACCGCGATGTCTAAACAAGAAGGGTTGCAAGAGCGGCCTCGCATTCTACGATTCCTTCGGGCACGACAATCCATTTTGATCTTTCCCTTCCTTTTCTTCATAAACGTTTTTACCCCGTGTCGAGCCACCCTCACAAATTATTTAGTATTTTATATTTTAAAGCTCACATTTCCACTAAAATATTTGTTAAATAGTAAATTTGATTTATGACATTTTGGTTCAATATCTAACATGACAAATTGATTTTGATGTTTTTGCAGATTTAGAATGTACAATTTTATATGCAGCCAGTATTCAGCGGTTTGTCATAGTACATGGTTATAGGTTTATATAAGAACGCCATCTACTAATTTCCAGTTAGACTAACAAAACCTCCATGGACTGTGGAGGCAACTTTACGCGTCGCATTGTAGCTAAACGTCAGGATCCATAGCTTGTTAGTAAAATATTACCAGAAACTCCTACGAGAGGGCGTTCCTGTCCAAAATTAAATACTTTTGCAAATCTATCTAATCCACGCATTTTGGATTAAGGTTGGTTATTGAAATCGGCAGTAAGTAGACTGAAGTAGATGTAGGTAGGTAGACAGGTTATTTCAAATGACCACCATTATCAAAATAGTCTATACGCTAATATTGTCCACTCTTTCTAACCACTTCATAGTCGCATATTACCTGCTTAGCTTACCTACTCATACATGTCTGATTAATGATATCCATGCGTTTAGTCTGGATATCATTAGGTAAGTATGTTTTATCTTATCATCTATAGGAATGACTGCTTCATAAACCAATTGAAATACCAATGTATGGACTCAGTACCGCCTTTACCATAGGGCACTCGGGGCCCGTGCCCCAGGGCCCCTTCCTCAATGGGATCGACAATTTCTACCGGTTGCCGCGCAACTTGTAGCGGGTTCGATTCCCGCACGGAGCAAATCTTTGTTGTTTCGGGTCTGGGTGTCATTCATAATGTACGTGAACTTGTATGTTTGTAAAATTAAAAGGGCCCCGAATTATTATGAGCCAGGGTGTACCAGCGTAGTCTAAGACCTATATGCACTGTCCTACACCCTGATTCATGGTGTTGCATTCCACCATGGTGTTCATACCACTGAAATACTCAGTGTTAATAAATTCTCACATAACATAATATAACATCACGCCTTTTTTCCCCGGGTAGGCAGAGGTGCACATTATGCCACTGTACAATGTAACACCCACTTTTCACTATTTATGTTATGAGTCCCATGGAATAGGGGGTGAGCCTATTGCCATATACCGGGCACAATTCTAGCCTCCGTGCTACCACTAATTTCCGTAATACTTTGCCCGACTCGGGAATCAAACCCGAGACCCCTTGCCCGGCAGTCGCATTGCGGCCACTCGGCCAACGAAGCAGTCTATAGAGGCATAATAAATCCTCAATAACTCAATATATTTACTTACATACATAGGTACAATATTTACTCAGAAATGCAATGCAATGGCCAAACAATTATAGATGATGTCACATTGGAGAATAATAACGAAACCTCATAACCGTCACCCATTTCTATTAGGCTGATGTTATAATAACATACCTAATAAAATAACCCACTAAAGACTTTATAGCTCTGTACATGGCATGGTTATTTTATATTTAACTTATTAGTTCATGGGTAATACCCGTACTTATACACATTTGTACAAACTTCTTGTGTACTAGTTGTATTTATTATAGAGGTAGTACCTACTAATTAAATTACTTTCTATGTTGTCTTATCTAGGATTACTTGTACAAGTTTAGCTGATATTATGAGTTAGACCAACCGGTTATAATATTACCCGAACAGAGTTGGGAGTAATGAATGGAGGCCCTTGATCTTCAACCATAAAGAATGCCTCATTATTGCGTTAGAGGCCAGTCGGACGTGCTTAATCGCTTTCACGCCGTATCAAACAATTTGCTGCTTTGAACCACATAATCTTATAATAGTCAGTATTTTACAAACTTACTTAGATTTCAAATACTACCTCACAAAATTTATGTATTTAGTACAGTTCCCGCTAAATATTGTCTGCAAGTCTGCGACTCACTGTTACCACCTTTCTAGGTACGATAGGCATTCTAGGCCTCTCAGAAATACGTATAAGGAAGCAAGTACCAGTTCATTAACTTCTTGGAAATGCACGAGTTAGAGGTTTAGTGGCGTTAGGCTTTTGTGCACATTCAAGCCACATGGTACAAAACCTCACAGACTCCTAACCTCAGGTCGGATCTCTTGGTTAGTTGCCGCCATTCGACGAGACGTTAGAAAAGGACGGGTTGATATTGCTCAACCGTTCGCTCTCATTGTATTCCTTACTTGGTTTTCGTTTTACATTTCGAGCTTTTAGTGAGGAGCCGAGCTGGAGCCGATGTCAATGTCGATATTTTTTTTAATACATTTTTATTGTGAATAAATAACTATAATTGGTTGCTTCGTGTATAGGTAGTCACAGAATTTCTCTCTTTTCACACCGTGTGAGTTTATGATTTATCTACCGTGTTTTGTTTTGCTAGTGGAGTGTAATGATATCAATTTACTTTTAACTCTAATACATACTTAAGTTATGTCAGCTACTTAAAGTCACCATCTGAACACAGGCATCCAGTACCTAAGACTTCACTTTTTTATTATAAGGATGTCGCATTCACACAAGTTACTATAAACAAAAACGTCACCCCACTTTTAAACTGTCAAACACCGCGAGGACACCGGTGACCGTAACCTATTGTTCTTTAATTGTGTCTATAATGACGGTACTCATGTTTCAAACAAAACGATAAGTCTGCAGTCTTATCTCATAAAATAATTAGAAAAGTACCTAAACAACGTTGTAAAGTAGACAGTAAATGTAATTTTAAACCTCTGTTCTTCTAATTAGGTGCCAAAGATCTTATAAGACGATGTATAATTTTCTAATTGGAGAATATTATATTTAAGATGATATTATCGACAGTGATAGAGAGGTATAGGGGCATGCCTAGCAGGCCGCACCGGCCGGCGGCGGCGGCGCGGCGCGCTGCATGATGTCATTCATACACACACTCACACATCGGACTCCGTGTGACTTGGTCGTGTCGTGTTGACCCGCGCGCCTGTTTACATTCTGTACACAGTGACTCCACGGCATACACCCGTGTCTGTGATTTAATTTTTTATTTAATATTAACTAGCTATTAGATAGTTCTAAATCACTCAATATGGCCAACAACAGAGCTGCCAAGTCTGGATTTGCTGCCGAAGCACAGAGAAAGGTAAGTTTTCATCTTATGATTTTCAAGTTACCTATTACCCGGCCATGTGTTGGAGTTCAACTGTATTTTATAGTGCGATGTGGGAGTGGTTCTTCAGAAACAGGTCGCGTTACACTAGATTATTGATTCGGGATGCTGTGAGCTCCAGAATTGTGTTACAAGGACTCAGCCGTGACCTAGTTTAGGGAACAGATGGTGTGGCCTCGTTACCGAGATGCATGGCTCAGATGGTCTTGAATATGCAGAAGGCTTTAGAGACGCGTTGCATACTCTTGAGTGCTTAGTTATTCGTAGTATAAATAGCTCAATTCCGTTACATTTTGAAGGATAGAAATTGTCTTCTATAACCTTTCGGACAACAATAATAATATAGGTAGTTACCCTCTTCCAATTTGCATCTCCAATTGGACGCCCATAAAAAGAAAGGGTAACGCATTCAAGTCAAAAATAATAACAACTACCTTCATATTATGTAAGGCACCCTAACATACTTAAGTTGTTCAAATTATATCTAACTATGTATTTACAATAAATACAAAAGCACAAGAGTTAAGATTATTACAATTTATTTTAAATTAAAATATGTACCTACTTTGTATTAAAATTATGACATTGAGGTTTCTTCCTAAACGGATCAAACCCTATTGGGTCAACAACTTAATGAAATAAAAATCTTATAATAAATTGAATAATAATAGACTTGTGGCTACCACCTTTATGCACATATTGAGGAAACATTATCTAAACAATGGTGTGTACTGTAAAGGACTCGTTACGTGCCCACATTCCAAGGAAATTTGTAGATACATACCTATGTATTTGTATACAAATGACATTGTTTAGCATTTAAATATAAGTAACGTACAGTCGCATCACACGTTTGCATTGATCCAAGGTTATAGAGAATGAATCATTTCTCACCTTTTTTATTAATAAAAATTACGCCATGTAAAAAGTGTTAACCTTTTTTGTCAACCTTAGAATGTCAATGTTACCATACCAAAAAACGTTCCGAAGCGCTTAATGGACTCGTTCAATTAATTAAACAATTTATTTTATTGTCTATTGTGACATCTCGTATGTAGAGGACATAATCATGATCATCATTGTTCTAAATATAGTTCTAACATAACAAAGATTTCACTAGCATCTGTTTATGACATTTGATACGACAACAATAAGCAAACATAGTATGACACAAAACTATAGTAAAATCCCTTTCAAAATATTAGTATTACTTATAATACTAGTAATGTCACATCTCAAGTGAGTCAAACTGTATTCAGGTAAGCACCTTGGTCAAAATTAAATAACCTTAAAATCTCAACAATACCTAAACGGTCATTGCTCCAAGCAACGCTTCGTCAACCAAGCATCCTAGTCAGTTTAATAATTTAAATAAATATTGCCTTCTAAATTCATAATATACTTAAACCAATTAAGAAATGGAAGAAGTGAGAAAGCTAAAGTGTAATAGCAGAACAAGGTTTTTGCATTTACACTAGTTATCGTTAAAATGCCACAAGAAAAGATACAAAATAAAGAAGGTACTGTAAATTTCGTAACAGTAAACTTATCAGACATAAATTTACATTCCGTTATTTTTAAACGTAGCTCCAAATCGGTTTTGTTTTTATGGTCATATAATTATTATCATTCAGGACACCTTTCTTCCTACTAGTCACACCGGCTGCATTTGGGTCAAGGAGGATCAGTTATCAACTTTTACAACCGGTTTATAATTTTATGGGAGTCCTTTAGTACCCTCGCGCAAACAAAGCATGAAGTTTTTCATCTACATCATAAACTTATCAATTTAAACCGTTATTCCAATGGAATACCAAAATAAGTGTGTTTTCCGACTGACAAACAGGTACGTGATGCTATGCGCCTTATCAGTAAAACGAGTATGCAGGTCAAACGGATGGACGTTTAAATGTATTAGTGACTCTCTTTTAATTACGGAATTACAGTTAGTTTTTAAGACTCAAACGTTACATAAGAGAACTAAACCAACCATGTAAACATTGTACACTTAGGTAGTACAGTTTGCATTGTTACTATATTCAACTACGATTAACCTACAGCATATTATTATACAAATACATCTGACGAAACAGATGTTCAATTAGTTCAAAAGAGTTTATTTTATACTAATTCAGCGAGACGGTGACTCATATAAGGCTCGGTTCTGTTACAACACACAGCACCGCACCTTATAAGGTATGGCCTTTACGCAGGATTCATTTATATGGCTTAAATGCAGGCCACTTTCAACCCAGCCATATGTTCAAGATTGACAGTTGACCAAATTTCTCTTCGATATTTAAATTAAAAATATAATTCTATGCGCAATCGACGTATTGTTGTGCAATTTGAGATGTACATACATAGGGCATAGATTAACAAAAAGGTGTATATCGTATTACAACTTGTGTGGCCTGACTTGTAACACGATGCTTTTAGTAATAGTCGATTTTATGTTGACGTTGTTTTTACTATCACATACAATAATATACTTAGTAAGACATTATGGCATAATTTTATTCAAGGAAATAATCTGACTCAGTAGTTCTCGTTTTAAACTTGAAGTTATCCCCATTTTTGTTGCGAATCAATACTGGTTGCATTGCATTGACCGCGTCCGAGAGCTGGCCTCGCTCGGTGACCCCATTCCTGTCCCCTTACCAGTCAGTGTTGGGGCCCTTGTTGACAATGTTACTGAGGCTGGGTATTTTTATTTGATTTACCTTAAATTATCAATTCTTACTTACAAATCGCGTCAACATGTAATTTGTGTCATATCCTGGCTAAGCAATAGTATACGCCGATTTAATTTTAAATACATAAGCATCCAACCTTTTTCAATTTTATATTTATAATATCTGCTAACGATTAATGACAATTTTTACCCGTTGTTTCCGTTTTACCAAGCTATAAACTGCAGTCTCAACGCAAGTCCATCAAGAAGTTTCAGACAAGGTTGGGAAATATGCATGATAGTCATACTTACAAATATAAATTACCACGAAATATGATGTTGGAGGACAGATTTCCTTTAATTAGTAACTGTTGGAGTATGTATTTGTCTGACGTAACCTAGAGGACGTGCTCCATACTTCAAAAGTCTGAAGCCGTTGACATTGAATCATAGTTATTTATGGCCACAAACGTTTTTGTTACCGACCCGTGTATGGCTGTATGTATAACGATTACTAGTGAATGAATGCTTTAATATCATTACATAAGTATTGATATTCGCAATCTTATCCTTCTTGGCCTCGTTTCACATCTGCTGATGTCCATTTGTCCATCTGCTTAAAAGGAAAAGATCAAATTGCTATCATTAAAGACACTATTCATACTAAAGTAAGTTCGTTTGGGTATGTTTTGCTCCTAAATTAAATTCTATTTCTCAAGATTTAAGTCAAGATTCCAAGGCTGAATATTCTAATAGCCAGTTTGTTTATGAAATAAATTATCAAGGAAGTACCTAAACAGCTCTAACTACTTTAAACAAATGGTACTATCAACTTCTAAATGTAACACAAACGTCATTAACGTTTCTGTATTTCATATCAGTGAAATTCGTTATTTTAGTCACCAAAACGAATTGATAGCCGCCATAACACAACTATCAAGCCAACCTAATTCACCCAACGACCTCTCGTTGTTTGATAATTATGTTAACAAGCAACTAAAGTTAATTAATTAAATACAGTAAATAACTAAATTGATATACTGTTTGTATACAGCTAATACATTGTTGGCCAATAGTATAGTCGATACAACTATTGCTTGGTTAGTCTCAATGACAATGATTTAACTTCGATCGATATTGATATTTTTCGTGAATTCATGGCAAGAGGAGATTATAAGAAATTATAATATTGGACTCTTAGTAGAGGACGAATTTGTATAAAGATACCGTTAGAATTTAAAAATAAATCTGATTGATTTTAACAACACACTATAAGGCCAACATTTGCACTATGCAATGCATGTCCTGTAGGTACCTATTACATTCCAATTTATAAAGTCAGTGCAACATAGTTTATAAAGGACGTTGGTTACAAGAAATCACTTCCTCTAACTTCAAACACAAATTAGACAACACTTCGGAATATTAATGAGAGGGGCATGCATATCGGTACAATCCATCTGGGACGAATTAAAATTCAAAAACCTTCGCTGTTGATACAAAAGGAGCCAGGCTAAATGACCTACTTGCTTGGCAACAAATTAAATTTTACTCAATTATTATGTCTCGATATTACGTGTTTTTGTGAAACTATTTATAGATCGGCCAGTAATTAATATTTTTAATTTATCTGGTTTTGTTTTCTGCTATATTGATATTATTCACATAAAACTAAAATTGATCGATATTGTTTCATCTTTAAAGTAGAGAGGTTGAGGAAGGATGTACGCCTTCCAAAGCAGGTTGTGAGAGCATGCTTTAATTTTTAAAGTTACAAACGTCTGACATACCGGACTCTGAGTCACGTTTGAATCCTTGCCTGGTTACGTCATCGTTAACGTGCGCGTGAGTTGTTTTTTGTGAATTACTATATGTATTCTTGCGGGAATATTCGATTACTCGTCACATTATTTCCTAATAATTTTGTATTGATTCATTTATTTAAACTCACAAACACTTTATATGGTCAGTAGCAAAATTCACAATTAATCAAAAATCATTCCAAAATTTGTTACTAGTTGATATATTCCACTGTAATCTTTAAAAATAAAATGAGTTTTATTATTTCTGAACATCTTTCTTTGGAAATAATTATAGAATTAAAAAATTATAGTAGGTATACTTGCTGCCTGAGATGATATCATTTAAAGTCAGGAAATACATACAAATATCTTTAAATTTAATAGATGCCGTTGATGGCAAGAAGACAAATAAAAATCCCCAATGAGGAATTAAGATTTAATAGATACTGAAAGTGAGGAACATGTTGACTAGTGAATTATTTGCTTCGGTCGTTAATTGATGATCGAAGATTATTTGTAAACTAATAGTATTTGTTTATTAGCAGCATCGACATTGTGTACAGCATAATATCGCTATTCAGCTAATCAGAGTACCTATAAGTACCTACGAATCTTTATTAACATATGTACTATGTAGATGCAAAAATCCTATGTATTTTAAGACTACGTATTCTGTGCTTAGATTCAGTACTTCCGAAGCATTGGGTATGTAAACAGAACGGTCTCACTTAATTAGTTCACCTACAGCACGTATTAACCTACTATTACTGTATTATAGTCACGGAGAGACTCCAATCACTTACTTTCATAGCATGGAACGTGATGCGTACACAATTAAAACTATGATAAGGTCAATATTAATGAAATACTTAGGTATTTTTATGAAATCGAAGGACGTTGGCTATCTTCATATTTCATTAGATAAATAGTTTTACATGTTACTCAATAACCTTTGTTAGAAATTCTTTGACTGGAAATGTTTGTATCATTCTTTACTTACACAATACAACTGAAGAAGACATTATTTAGTTGAGCATGCTGCATTGCAAGCGTTTATAAAAAAATATAAAACACATCAAGACCTAGATTTTAAATTTTATTGTTTATTTTAGAGGAACTAATAATTTTGAATATAAATGAACAGTTTTTATTTATTTGGCATAGATAGATTAAATTGCTATAAATTCTACCGAGTTGGGAACATACCGCCGCCGCAGGAAACTGTCATGTATTTTTTCGCTATATTATATTTCCTTTTAACAAGTAGAGTTCAACTAGACTATACATAGATAACACATTATTTACAACATTTATTAGGCACTGAGATAGGTAAGCTTGGAGGTCTTTTTATAAAAATATCGTCCTCATTTATGTATAAAGGCGATATACATGCCTATGTATATTCTTTTATAATTAAGATTAAATTGAATTCAGGCGACACCATTACCTACCTATTATCTACCTATAATTTGTCGAACAAGTTATATTTTAAAGAATGACATACATATGAATGTATGTTAATATATGTATTTATATAAATAGTGGCTACGTAATTTGTTATAAACATCTGTAATAAATGAGCAGAAACTAACCGGCAGTGCTATACAATAATAGGTATTCGCTCATTTCTTATCAGTACGACCTTGGGCTTCCACTGAGTTGATACACACATTACAAACTACACACTAACTGCATACATAACATTTCAGTTATTTCCCATTTAGAAATTGATCATTTGAAGCGTATTTTTTTTCCTTATATCTTATTTAATAATTGTTACTGAGTTTTGAATAAAATTAAATAAGTAGCATAACATAACATAACATAACGCCTTCTAACCCCGAAGGGGAAGGCAGAGGTGTACATTATGCCACTCTACAATGTAACACACACACACACACTTTTCACTATTTAGGTATGTTATGAGTCCCATGTAATAGGGGGTGAGCCTATTGCCATACACCGGCCACAATTCGAGACTCCGTGCTACTACTGAGATTTTTTTAATAACCCTGTAATTCTTTGCCCGACCCGGGAATCCAACCCGAAACCCCTTGCCCGGCAGTCGCACTTGCGACCACTCGGCCAACGAGGCAGTCTAATTAAATAAGTAAATTAAACAAATTAAATAAGTAGATACGCAAATTATTACCCCCTAGGTAGGTTGGTAACCTATCCCACCTAAACCATCATGACGAAAGAAGTCCAGCACAATCAAAATCAAAAGAAAGGCCTTCTCTGTAGTCTTCCCAAATGACAACCCACTACTTGCATTGGATCTTGCATCTAATGGCTTCCTGCGACTCGGGCCTCTGATGATGTCAGTCATTAAAACTGATTTAGGTATATTTATAAACCTACCTATGAGCCTATGACGCAACCATAGAAGACCTATGACCAAGTCATTAGAAAAGTCTGACATGAGGTAACTCTCATTCATGAACCTATTTTTAAAATAGATGATCTCAAGTAATGAATGGTTATGAAAACATTTTCGAAATGGCTTTCAAAATATTCAATACCTACTTGAATAAGTGCGCCATTCATGTTTAGCCAATTGCCTAATTTAATTAGAAACTGCTTATTTAAATACATTATTGCTCTTATGAGGCTATCCTTATTCCAGGTTAGTTTTACTTTTTATTTTTTTTATTTAACTTTATGCAACACGAGTACATACATAGGTAGGCTTAATGCTATGGGCATTCTTACTAGCCAACCTTAAGGTGATGCAGTGAGAGCTTATCTAATATAGTTACTAAAATGAAAGAATACATATACCTATAACAATATCATAAACACAGATACACATGAACAGTTGATATTGATTCCATTCCGTTCCGTTCGTATTTTTAACGAATTTTCTTTCATGTATTTTTTCACACAATCTTCCATTCATCTTTTTGTGATATCGCATACGGCATAAGGCGGCAAACGAACAAACAGATTATTACCTGAGGCCATAATACGAGTTTGTTCTTTCTACGTTTAAAGTAATCGAAACGAGACCGCGTTCGGCGCTTTGATAGGTTGGTTTATTAGAGCCGGCCAATCAGGGCGCCGAACGCGGCACTAAGGCAATCAGTAACACCAGAGGAGTAACAAGTACGTTGCCGGCTTTTTAACGATTGCGGGGATTTTTTCTTTGGTCATCATCTCCTTTATCATCCGTTCCCACTAATACCTAGACTTACGTAGGTAGTATTGTTATAGTGGTTTAAAGTAAAGGCTTAATGAATCTAGTGACTAAGTACGGTTATTGGTAGGTACCTCAGTTTATCCATGATTTGTTCATAAATGGTTGTTTGTGCGTGTACGGTAGGTATACAAATGTTTTTCCCTGTTTACCATAGACAATAACCATTGTTACAGTAATAAATCGGGTTACAATAAGGATCGGTATTGTTAAAAATAGCTCTGACATAAATTGTAATTGGTATAGTGTTTGTACTCCTCTTAACAAGACAGGTACCTACCTAATTGGAATGATGAAAAAGTATGATAATTAAAAATCTAATTAGTCCGTAAGTAGATAATGAAAAAATATTAGACACGTATTTTTTTATCTTGTCGTATAATAAAACAATACTTACTTAGATAAAACGAATCAAAATTTAGGAGTGGTGGCTAAAACATCATTTCTACGTATAAAATATAGGTACATAGAAGTGACGTTACGTGACATTTCAAATCAATATATCGACCAGACGGACATTAAAATAAAAATTAGGCATCCACCCTATTGCCTATATCATATCGTGTAAAGAAGGCTTAATCACATTCTCAGTAGATACCAGACGTAGAAAAGCTTTAATGGGTCGACTTTAATGGATACCAATAAACCTCCTTAGTAACATAACACTCGCAGATGGAATATACATATAAAATTCTATGAAGCTGCAACTACTTTAACACTAACACTAGTAAATGAGCCGTATAACACTAACTTAATATTTTTATAATATGATCCTATCAGCAGAATCTTTTTTTTTTTTTATAATATTAAAGATTATTTCTCCACGGACTCTAGGTCCGTGCCCTTGTCATACAGTTTTTTAATTATAATACATCTAGTCAATATTTATAAAGTAAAGAGGGAACCTAGTTACATACTACAATTAACTACATCTATAATTATTAGCAAAAGTATAGGTTACATACATAGGCTCAGCAGAATCTTAGCGTCATGGTTCGTTGTATCTTTCCATGAAACTTCTACAGATGTTTTTGACAATATTTTATCGATAATAACGAAGATTTGTTTAAAAACAAAAATATATTATCCATTGATATCACTCCTGAAGTCCTAAATGTAACATAACCCTACTAATAGGGAAATATCCGTTATCGGAACATAATAAATTAATTCTAATGATTTCCCTATCTTGTTTACAGATCAACAGCAAATACAGCGAAGAGCTAGCCCAGGAGTGTCTAGAATGGATCCAGGCCATTATCGGCGAGCCTACCAACACCTCCGGTGACATGGACAACTTCTACGAAGTACTTAAGGACGGCACTATTTTGTGCAAGTGAGTATTTCCTCATTGATATTAACTGTGGAATGATCTGTCGTCGGCGGTATTTCCAAACCGATACCACCTTCAAACCTTCAAGAAAAGAGTGTATTCCTTTTTAAAAGGCCGGCAACGCACCTGTGACTCCTCTGGTGTTGCGGGTGTCCATGGGCGGCGCTGATCGCTTACTATTAGGTGTTCCCTCTGCCCGTTTACCTCCTTTTCCATAAAAAAACTTAGAAATTATGTAAACAAACTATGCACACATAGGTACTCGTATAAGTAGGTACCTACTACAACTTTACTACATCACATGCAATAAAGTTTGATTCACATGTAAATAAATTAACATAGCGTTCCAGTTCTATAATTATATTAAACCTAATGAAAAATAATATGTATGCATGCATAAAATTGAACGATGCTTAAAATTAAACCTGCATTCTAATTTCTCGAATGTCTGTATCATCTAAATCTTTAGTACCGTTTGCCCGTCTGCCCGTTGCGGCTATTGTATTTGCATGGCAACTGGGACCGGCGGCTTCACGTCTCTATGTAAAGAACGGTCGTTCATCTCAGACTTTACGACTTCTCAAAGACTATATTATATATTCGGTACCGATCTATATGCACGAACATCTCACATTGAAGAGGAAAAAATTGTTTCGTGATTGCCGGGAAGCGGCAAGGATACATAATTATCGATTTCTGTGGGTTAAGAATGGAACCATACTCGCTCGAGAAAGGGAAGGAGCCAAATCCTTCGCTATTAGATCCTACCAGGATATCGCTAGGATCAGATCTGGCTCAGAAATCAAACAGGTTGCTGCTGACCCAGCCAATTGAAAGGATTGACGGAGTGGAGTGTGGTTTGATTTTTTTATTCACTCTAAATATTACTAATGTACTGCTTTTTGAAATGTATATATTGCTAATGTATTCGGCTTATGCTGTTTTCTTCTTCTTGGCGCTTTCGTGTGGATTTGTGGCTTTCTTTTTGCTGCTGCATAATGCATGTAACATCGTTGTAGTTTTTATCTTAGTTTGTTTCTGTGGAGGTTTGCTTGTCAATTATTGCTATGATATAATCTTAAGGCGTATTTGTATTTACTACTTTCTGCATATTGCTATGTTAAGAACGACAAGTAACATGTTGACGCTGTCTGTAAAAACTTACTACCACAATGGCCAATAACTTAGTAGTTTACTACCAAAATTGTAGGGGGATTCGTACCAAACTGCATATTCTGTATATGAATATACTGTCTAATTGTTACGATGTCATAGTGCTTACCGAGACTTGGCTAACATCTGAGATATTTGACAATGAGTTTATCGATAATCGTTACGTAGTGCACCGATGTGACCGTGATCGTACGGCCACTAATAAAAAGGATGGAGGTGGCGTTCTCATCGCTGTGTTGAAAAATTTACGTTCGGTGAGGGTATTCCCTCCATCTGAACTGAAAACACACGTCGAATTTATTCTTCTGAGGCTTCCCGGTGACGGCAGATCTGGGAACCAAATGATTGTTGCGAGCTATGTACCGCCGAGAACACCTGAGTGTGTCTATGTCCAATACTTCGATTTATTGCAGAGTTTGTTTAGTGATGATGATATCGAACACTTTTATTTGTTGGGCGACTACAACTTACCCGGTGTCGACTGGGCAACATATGACAATGATATATTACCGTCTGCAGGATTAACCTGTGTCGGTACCTCTCCTATTTGTGAGCTTCTGGGTGAATTTATGTCGTGTCTTAATGCCTCTCAATACAATACTGTTAAGAATTGCAACGGAAAATTGTTGGATTTGATCATAAGTAATAACAGTTGCTCAGTTTCCAACCCCACTAACCAGTTGTTACAGTCTGATAATTACCATCCGCCCCTCTGTATATTAATTCCATTTAAGACACGTTACAAAGTGTTGGTTAGAAGTTCAGATAAGAAATACAATTACTTTAAAGCGGATTATGAGAGGGTGAATGAAGAACTGGGGAACATTGATTGGTATGATAGAATGGGACCAAACCTGACTATAGACGAGGCATTAAGCAACTTTTACAACATAATATACAACATAATAAAATCGTGCGTCCCTTTAGTAAAATCAAAATCGTCCAAATTTCCAGTCTGGTTTTCGCCTTCTCTCATTCATATTTACAAAAATAAAAGTAGAGCTTGGGTAAGGTGGAAAAAGTATAAAAATTTATCGGACTATGAACAGTTTTCCCTTTACAGATCCAGATTTAAGAAGGAATGTGAAAACTGCTACGATAAGTATATTACCTCCGTTGAAGATGGTATACGAAATAATGTCAAAAGCTTTTGGACGTATATTGCGAAACGCAGATCCGCTACCGGCATTCCCTCTGAAATGAGGTACGGAAGCCGAATAGCTAGCGAACCTGAAGATGTTTGTAACCTATTTTCTGCCTTTTTTAACTCCGTTTATGAGCCACCGGGGTCCTCGTGTAGTGACATGCCGTGCACGAATAATGCTATTTCCGAGAACTGTTCCATTATCCATGGGATTGAATTCAGCGTTAGTGAGGTGCTGAGGTCTATAAAGGCGCTGGATTTATCAAAGGGGCCTGGTCCTGACAAAATCCCGGTGGTATTTCTTAAAGAAACCGCAAAAAGCCTGTGCACCCCCATACAAATATTGTTCAATAAATCACTGGCCCTGGGGACATTTCCGGAGGCCTGGAAAGTAGCCAACATTACACCAATCCATAAATCCGGGTCTAAACAGGACGTGGAAAACTACCGTCCCATTTCCATCTTGTCTGCAATCCCAAAACTTTTTGAACGTTTAATCCATAATAAAATATACCCTGTACTTCACAATATCGTATTGCAAGAACAGCACGGTTTTGTTAAAAAACGGTCAACCACGACTAATTTAGTAACCTTCGTTGACTATATTTTTAAGAACATGGATTCTCGGGTTCAGGTGGACTCTATATACACGGACTTTCGGAAGGCATTCGACAAGGTTGATCATAGTCTTCTATTGGAAAAGCTTTCATACAATGGTATACGCGGAGATTTATTGCGCTGGTTCTCTTCTTA